GCTTGCACTCTGACAGGGGTGGTGAGTTCGCCTCCGACCTCTTGGCAGCCTACTGTGCTGAGCACGGCATTGAGCAGTCGTACACGCTTCCGGCCTCTCCACAGCAGAATGGGGTTGCTGAGCGCCGCATTGGCTTAGTCATGGAGGTCGCTCGTACCTCCCTGACCCATGCGGCTGCTCCCCACTTTCTGTGGCCGTTTGCGGTCAGGTACGCAGCACATCAGCTCAACCTCTGGCCCCGTGTCTCCTTGCCGGAGACTTCCCCGACTCTACGGTGGACGGGAGAGGTTGGCGATGCGTCGCGTTTCCGGGTCTGGGGATCTCGAGCCTTTGTCCGCGACACGTCTGCGGACAAGCTCTCACGTCGCACTGTTCCCTGTGTCTTTCTTGGCTTTGTTCCCGACGCGCCTGGATGGCAGTTTTACCATGTCACCTCGCGCCGGGTTCTGGCCTCTCAGGACGTCACTTTTGACGAGTCCGTCCCCTTCTACCGCCTCTTCCCCTACCGCACTGCCCCACTCCCCCCCCCGCCTCTCTTCCTCGCTCCAGGTGCTGAGGTACCAGACCCCCTCCCCCCTCAGGGTGCCGCTCCCTCAGGTGTGTCCCAGGTAGACCCGGGTGAGCCTGTCGAGGTAGCTGTTGACTCGCGTCCTGCGTCTGGGGGTGCTGAGCCTGGAGGTGCGGAGCCTGGGGGTGCTGAGCCTGGAGGCGCGGAGCCTGGGGGTGCTGAGCCTGGAGGTGCGGAGCCTGGGGGTGCTGAGCCTGGAGGTGCGGAGCCTGGAGGTGTGGAGTCTGGGGGTGCTGAGTCTGGACGTGCTGAGTCTGGGGGTGCTGAGTCTGGGGGTGCTGAGTCTGGGGGTACTCCACCTGGAGGAGCCCTCTCCTCCCAGCAGCTGCAGGAGAGGTACCTCGAGTACTGCCGCCTCCGGAGAGGTGCTTCTGGAGCTCGTCCCGGTACTTCCCCTCCTACCCAGGAGCTCCCCCCCATTCAGGTGATCCGCGAGTGGTACACGCGGCGCTGCAGTCTTCGTAGTGGTGCTCCTGGTGCTGCGGACCCGAGCGGTGGTGCTGTTGCTGGTGCTGAGGACCCGGACGCTGGAGCTGCTGCTGGTGTTGAGGACCCGACCGGTGGCGCTGCTGCTGGTGCTGAGGACCTGACCAGTGGCCCTGCTGCTGGTGCTGAGGACCCGACCGGTGGTGCTGCTGCTGGTGCTGAGGACCCGACCGGTGGTGCTGCTGCTGGTGCTGAGGACTCGGGCGTTGGAGCTCCTGCTGGTGCTGAGGACCCGGGCGTTGGAGCTGCTGCTGGTGCTGAGGACTCGGGCGTTGGGGCTGCCACTGGTGTCCCTGCTGGCTCTGGAGACGCTGCGCGGCCGCGACCGTACTTCGTACCGCTCCTTCAGCAGGTTCTTGGTCAGGCTCCTCCTCTTAGTCCTCCTCCCTCCGTAGCGTGTCCTCCGCCTGTCCAGCCGCAGTCACAGTTACCGCCTGTCTCGCCTCTCCCTGCTCCCTCCCCTTACACTGGTCCCACAGGAGGTCTTACGGAGCGTCGTGAGCCTGAGTCTCGTCCTGCGTCGCCTGTTCGTACTGCTCGCACTGGTCGTCGTGTCCCACGTGAGCGTCCTCCTCCTGTCCCTGGCACTCACTACATGACTCTACGTCCCTCCACTGCTCCGCAGCGTGTCCCGCTGCCGTCTCCTCCTGTGTCCTCTCTTCCTACTCTTCCTGACCCGGAGTCTGACTCCCGTCGTGCTGCCAGTCCCACTGTTACGCGTCTCCTCGCTACAGTTGTCACTGACCCGACCTTTGAGTCCTCTGCTGCGTCTGCCCTGGTCGCTGAGTTGGTTGACTTTGCTGCTCGCTGTCGCCTAGACTACGCTGCCAGCCTTGTCGCTAGGTCTGAGTCTGCGTCTGCCTGTCCTCCGTCCGTCGGGGGTGAGTGTGCCCTCGGCACGGACGTCCTTGAGGACAGACAGGAGGAGTTCCACTGCCTTGCTGCTGCTTTGCCCCGTCTCGTGTCCTTGCTAGTTGCCCCTGAGGGAGACCCGGATGCACCAGACATCCCGACCCCACGCTCGTACGCTGAGGCGATGGCGGGTCCCTACTCCTCTCAGTGGCAGACAGCCATGGACGCAGAGATGGCCTCCTGGAAGTCCACAGGCACCTACGTAGACGAGGTTCCCCCTCCTGGGGCGAACATTGTCAGTGGCATGTGGATTTTCAGGGTGAAGCGGCCGCCGGGTTCTCCGCCTGTTTTCAAGGCGCGCTACGTGGCTCGAGGCTTCAGTCAGCGAGAGGGAGTAGACTTCTTTCAGACCTTCTCCCCCACCCCGAAGATGACTACTCTTCGGGTGCTGCTGCACATAGCCGCTCACCGCGACTACGAGCTTCACTCTCTTGACTTCAGCACTGCTTTCTTGCAGGGCAGCCTGCACGAGGAGATCTGGCTGCGTCGCCCCCCTGGCTTCACTGGGTCAGTTCCTCCTGGCACCCAGTGGAGGCTTCAGCGGCCGGTCTACGGTCTCCGCCAGGCGCCACGTGAGTGGCACGACACACTGAGGACGACACTTGCGGCTCTTGGGTTCGCTCCCTCTACTGCTGACCCGTCGCTGTTTCTACGCACCGACACCTCGCTGCCGCCGTTCTACATCCTCGTGTACGTCGACGACTTGGTCTTTGCCACTGCTGACACCGCGGCACTCGCTCACGTGAAGTCGGAGCTGCAGAGGAGACACACGTGCACAGACCTGGGTGAGCTGACGAGCTATCTTGGCTTGCGGATCATCCGGGACAGAGCACGGCGCACCATCACCCTGACTCAGTCACACATGGTGCAGCAGGTTCTCCAGCGCTTCCGCTTCACGTACTCCTCGCCTCAGTCCACTCCTCTGCCTACCGGTCACTCGCTCTCAGCTCTGCCTTCGGATGAGTCCGTAGAGCCGAGTGGCCCGTATCCAGAGCTTGTGGGCTGCCTCATGTACCTGATGACCTGCACTCGACCTGACCTTGCATACCCTCTTAGCATCCTAGCACGCTATGTCGCTCCTGGCCGTCACCGGAAGGAGCACATGGATGCTGCTAAGAGGGTGTTGCGCTACTTGTGCAGTACGTCGGGCATGGGGCTTGTGCTTGGAGGGCGAGACCGGGTTGTTCTCACAGGGCACTCAGACGCTTCTTGGGCAGACGACCAGGCTACTCAGCGGTCGTCCCAGGGTTACACCTTCAGCCTTGGCTCTGGCACAGTTTCTTGGCGTTCTACTCGCTCTTCCTCTGTTCTCAGCTCCAGTTGTGAGGCTGAGATCTACGCCACAGCCATGGCCGCTCAGGAGCTTCGCTGGCTGACCTACCTGCTGACCGACCTCGGAGAGCGGCCTCGTTCTCCTCCAGTGCTGTACGTCGACAACAAGGCTGCCATTGCCTTGTGTGAGGAGCATAGACTGGAGCACAGAACGAAGCACATCGCTCTGCGGTACTTCCTGGCTCGAGAGCTGCAGCAGCGTGGTCAGCTTTGTCTGCGTTACGTGGCCACGGAGGCCAACACTGCTGATGTGTTCACCAAGGCGCTTCAGCCTTGTGACCATCAGCGCTTTTGCACTCTGCTAGGCCTTGTACCTACTGGGCCTCACTTACTTACCTCTTGACCTTGCTTGTACTGTGATCACTATATATATATGCCTACTTGTTTACGTTTGCTAGGTTGTGATCACTGTATCTCTTGCTTTGTTATAAACCTGCATGTGAACTGGTCTTGTGACCGCTTGCTTGTGCTCGGAATTTGTGTGGAATCCTTGAGATCCACCCTGAGCTTGTTTTGCTTTGCTTTGACTGGTCTTGTGACCCTGTGGCTGTCTCCCACTGCGCCTATGGGGGTGTGTCAAACATTGCATGTTTATATTGTCTAGGCTGTAGTGGGTTACACCTTAGGGGGTACACAAAGTTAGGGTTTCCTACTTGTACCAAACTCTGTTCTAGTTCATTCATTCCTGTTCAGTTATTTCTGACACGTCCGACCGGCCTCGATGGGAACCGCATGAGGTGATGCAGCTGGCGTGGATCCGCCACGACTACGACGCGCAGTGGCGCTCCCAGACCCGCCTGCAAGGGCAGAACCGTGATGTAATGCTTTTCGAGAAGCTGCGCGAGCGCCACCCAGACTTCAGGCATAACCTGGCCGCGGTTAAGGCCAAGGTCTTCAGGATGGAGGCGCAGTTTCGGCGGGTGGGGGATCTCCTGCTCAACGACTCGGGCAAGGGCAGGCCTCCGAAATTGCCCATCTTTTATGACATTTTCGAGCGCATATTGGGCGATCGCGCGAATGCACGTCCGCCCGCACTAGCAGGCAGCCTCCCTTGAGCTAATGTGGTTAATCAGCCTTCAACTGCTCCTGTTGCCGGTAAGTGTTTTGATGTGCAATGTTCAGTTCACAGAAGCCCCGAACAGCCCACCTCGATAAAAGGTATAAGCTACATGAGTTACATAGCTATTAACTTTCATACCGAAACCCCCTAACTACTATTGATGCATTATCCCCCCTCTGTCCCCATGCGGATTAATGACCCCTCTTGCATGTCGTGCCATGCAAGCTCCTGCAGGAATAAGCATGGACGTGCACACCGCGGCGTCGGCGTCGCCAAGTCGGCCGAGGGGTACTCCCCGCACGACCACGCGCCAGCGCAGGCCTTCCACGCCGAGTGGGTCGCCATCGAACGCGCCGCTCACCACGGCCCCAGCGTCGGACGACGAGCCCACAAATGCCGCCGCGGTGGAGTCTCCTGTCCGTTCACACGTCCTCGGTGCGCGCACGGGAGCTTCGCTCCGTGGGCGTGGCGTCAACCGCCGGCCCGGGCCTGCGGCTGCGAGTGATACAACCACAGCAAACGACCCGGGAGCACATGCATTAGGGAGTGTGACGAGTGCTAGTGATGCGTCGTTGTGCAAAGAAATAGCCGCTATCATTGCGACGTTGGTTAACAGTGCAATGGCGGCTCAATTTGCTCAATTTATGGAACGTACCCAAGAGATGGTTGCGTCTGCTCAGGATGCCCCAGCCTCCAAGAAGCGTAGAGGCACGCCGCCATCTGAGCGCGACGACGAGCAGGAGTGAAGCCCTCCTCCCGCGGCAGGAAGTGCGGCATTTCGGCAGCGGGGCTTTCCTGCCACCACGTGTTGCGCTCGCGCGGAGGAAGAAGCCGGGGGCGGGGGCCGAGGAGCAGGTCGATATTGTGCAGCACGATGCAGGCGGAGACGTACTGCGGGGCGCGGAAAATGTCACACTCCAGCCGGCCGTCCAGCATCCGCCAGCGCGACTTGAGCCTGCCATTCACCTGCTCGACGATCATTCGCGCGCGGCTCTGCTGCACGTTCCACACGCGCTGCTCGTCCGGTAGTCCGCGGCCTGGCAGCGCCCTGTAGGGTGTGTGAATGTAGTCACGTAGACCATAGGCAGCATCGGAGACGATGACAAAGTCGTAGAGGCCTCCTAGCTCGATCTTGTGCCGTGCCGGACTGTGCTGGAAGACCCTGGCGTCATTGACGCTTCCCGGCCATCCAACGTAGAAGTCATAGATGTAGCCACTGCAGTCACAAATTAGTTGTGCTATGATGCTGAATAAACCTTTGCGATTACGGAAATCCTCGCAATGTGGCCCTTGTCCTTGGCAGAGAATATACGTGCCGTCCATGGCACCGACGACGCCTGGAATTCCCGCTTCCGCATGAAATTCCCGTTCGAAGACTTGACACATTTCAAAGTCAGGCCAAATGACCCACTTCTCAAGTAAGACCCTGTTGACGAAGTCAAGAAAATGTGTGAAGAGTTTCTGGGCATGTGAAAACGAATATCCAAAATGCAGACCGAGTTGACGGAATGACAGACCATGACCGAGATGGTTTAGTCCCATAGCGATGAAAATGAAGGAGAACATGGGATGCGTCCGCGTAGTGGTGTTGGTGCGCTGGTACTGGCGCACGAGGTAAATGAATACACGCCGGTCCACGCGCATGTACTCGTAAAACTTATCCCCGGGCAGCAGGGTAATCAGCTTGAACCACCGGATGCGGGCATCCTGGCGATCCCCACGGACGAAGACGCGGGTCTGTCGCAGAGTGAAGGCAGCGACGAGGGTGGGGATGGCCGCACCAATGGCAGTGAGCGTTGGAAGTACGAGGCATCGCAGGTAGCCTTGAAGCACAATCCCGAGAAAGCGCACGAGCTGAATGAGAGTCATTGTGAGACGCTGACTTGGAAACTGGTTCATCTCGCCGATATTTGTATCGTGCACAACTGCCCCAGGGGCGAAGATGATCTGGAGGTCTAGGGCTCACTTTTTTGAGCAGCGCTCCGGTGACGTGTCGCGCTGTGGTGTGATTGAAACCGGGTAACCTACAGTCCCGCTATGCGACTCGGTTCCCCCCCTGTAAATTCGAACTTGCAAATTCGCACCTACGTGTGTGATTGTGAATATACAAGCATGCTCACCGGCAGTTCGAACATTGCCACACCTCAAAATCGAGTCAAGTTCAGGTTATAAGATCCTGCTTAAATCGAGTCGAAAACGTGAACTTTCATAAACCCTTGTTTCACACACGTCCTAAACCCGAGGTCAGCATGGTTTTCGGCACAGTGACGCGAGGGCTTTAATCGTGTTCGCGAAAGGCATAAAAAAAAAAACATTTCGAGAACTGAACAGGTGCGAAAGCGAAACCAGGCAGCAACGAGCCTCAGCATTCGCCACCCAACTGTGCGACACTGCACCACAAGTTTGGTGCTTGGAGGGGGTTAAGGGGTGATCACCAGCTCGACGTCGAGGGATGTCGGTGAATCCTGACGGTTGAAGCCGTTGATCCGAGGGTTGACATTCATCGACGTATCTCGACGTCAAGCTGGTGCAGTACTTTGATCATCCCTTTAGAAAGCAAGGCCACGTGCGTAGATTGGTTTGAAAATGCATGTGATTCGTTGTTGCCGCCTACGTTCACTCCCCTCCGTCGCACATGCGACTATTCTCCCGTCAATGTCGCACACTTCCCGCGATCGCCATAGCGCACTCCCCCTCATCACCTTCGCGCACTCCCCTCCCTCGCCTTCGCGCACTCCCCTCCCTCGCCTTCGCGCACTCTCTCTCGTCGCCTTCGCGCACTCCCCTCCCATCGCCTTCGCGCACTCCCCTCCCGTCGCCTTCGCACACTCCCTGCCCGTCGCCTTCGCGCACTCCCCTCCAAAGAGGATGATCACTCCCTCCCGTCGCCCACGCTTCCTTCCTGACGCACGATCACGCTCCCTCCCCTCCCGTCGCCTTCGTGCGACGCCTCTTTCGCCCCTCCTCACTCTCTTCCGTCGCCCACGCTCACTCCCCTCCCGTCGCCCACGCTCACTCCCCTCCCGTCGCCCATGCTCACTCCCCTTACGTCATGTACGCGCATACCCATCCGTCACTACTTACCCTCCCTCCCTCCCGTCGCCCACGCTCCCTCCCCTTTAACGAGAATGGGGACTCCCCGCGCCTTGCACCTCCCCTTCCTCCTGCGACGCCACACCCCACACTCTCGTCTCTCCATCCCTCATCCCCCCTTCCCTCATCTCCCCATCCCTCCCATCCCTCGTCTCCCCATCCCTCATCTCCCCATCCCTCATCTCCCCTTCCCTCATCTCCCCTTCCCTCATCTCTCCATCCCTCATCTCTCCATCCCTCATCTCCCCATCCCTCACCTCCCCATCCCTCACCTCCCCATCCCTCACCTCCCCATGCCTCACCTCTCCATCGCTCATCCATCCATCCCTCATCTCCCCATGCCTCACCCCATCTCCGCCGCACCCTGTGGCATCATCACACGTCGCCATTTCCCACCTTTTCCTACTTCCCATCCCCCTCTTCCGCCCTTCCTACCCCCTTCTCTCACTCCCTTCCTCTCGCCCTGCCATCCTACTTCCCATCCCCCTTTCCTCGTTTCCCCAGACCTCCTTTCCCCATCCCGTCATTCCCTCTCCCTCCGTTCCCTATCCTTCCATTCCCCATGCCTACTTTCACCATTCCACCATACCCCATCCCACGACCTTCCCGTCATCTCCACCCGGGTACAACCTAAATCTCCGCCTCGCCCGATCTCCGCCTCACCCCATCTCCTCCTCACCCCATCTCCTCCTCACCCCATCTCCTCCTCACCCCATCTCCTCCTCACCCCATCTCCTCCTCACCCCATCTCCTCCTCACCCCATCTCCTCCTCACCCCATCTCCTCCTCACCCCATCTCCTCCTCACCCCATCTCCTCCTCACCCCATCTTCTCCTCACCCCATCTCCTCCTCACCCCATCTCCTCCTCACCCCATCTCCTCCTCACCCCATCTTCTCCTCACCCCATCTCCTCCTATACACATCCGCTTCTTTCCCCTTCCCTCGTCACCGCGTCCCCTCCTCTCCCCATCCCCTCCTCTCACCATCCCCTCTTCTCCCCACCCCCTCCCGTCCTCTTCCCATCCGCCCATCCCACCTCACCACTTCCCTCCTCTTCCCATCCATCCTCTCCTCATCCCTCCCCATCCGTCCTTTCCCCATCCGATCCTCTCACCCTCCCCTCCAGGTGTTTCCCACACCGCCCTCGGCCCAGCGGCACCTCTTCATCCCTTGTGCTTTTCTGCACCAGGGAGCTGCTTGGGGCGCTGTGGGCGGATGGCGGTGGGCAGAGTCACGCAGTAGAGGCAGACGTGGTGCTGCTTGTCCTCCCCTTCCCCCGTCCTCCCAACCTCTCTTCCTCCCTTCATCAATTCCTCCCACCCTGCATTCCTCCCGTATGCCCTCAATCACATTCTTCATCCTTTCTCCCATCCTTTTTCCCTCCCTGCATCCATTCATCTGTTCCACCCTTCATCCATCCATCCTTCCCTTCCTCTGTTCCTCTCTTCCTCCCTATGTCCCTTCCTCCGTTTCTCTGTCCATCTGTCCCTCTTTTCCCCTGGTCGTCCTTCTGTGTGTCTCCTACCGTTCCAGGAGTGACTTTTTATTTCTTCCTCTTCGTGTTGCTTCCTTGTCAGTTATTCTTTTGTATGCTTACCGGCTGGAATGTTGGTTGTTTAATAGTACCACTAGGTATGGTATATGGCCATGGGAATGTGAAAACTATGAGGCAAGAATGGTTGGATTGAAAGAAGCAAGGGTACAAATAGGAAACCCTAGTTGGGGTTGTACCCCATATTGGCTACCCCACTACAGCCTACAAACATATAGCACATTTATACTTTGACACACCCCCATAGGCAAAGTGGGGGAGAGCAAGGGGTCACAAGACTAGTCAAGCAAAGCAAAGAACAAGCTCAGGGTGGATCACAATGTCACCACACTCTCTGAGCACAAGCAAAGGCCACAAGGCCAGTTCACATGCAGATTTATATAGAAGAACACAAGTAGTACAGTGATCAAAGCCTAGCAAGTGCAAGCATGCAAGGACATATATATAGATCACAGTACAAACAAAGTCAAGAAGTAAGCAAGTGAGAGAACGTGGACACAAGGCCTAACGCAGTGCAGTGCCGCTGATGATCACTAGGCGGAAGCGCCTTGGTGAATATATCAGCAGTGTTGGCCTTCGAGTCCACGTACGCAAGGCGAAGCTGGCCACGCTGCTGCAGCTCTCGAGCCAGAAAGTAACGGAGAGCAATGTGTTTCGTTCTGTGCTCCAGTCTGTGCTCCTGACACAAGGCAAGAGCTGCCTTGTTGTCGCCGTACAGAACTGGAGGAGAACGAGGCCGCTCACCCAGGTCAGTCAGCAAGTAGGTGAGCCAGCGTAGCTCCTGTGCAGCCATGGCTGTGGCGTAGACCTCAGCCTCACAACTGGAGCTGAGAACAGAAGAAGAGCGAGTGGAACGCCAAGAGACAGAACCAGAGCCAAGGCTGAAAGTGTAACCCTGTGACGACCGCTGCGTAGCCAGGTCGTCAACCCAAGAGGCGTCTGAGTGTCCAGTTAGGACAATCGAGTCCTGTCCTCCAAGCACAAGCCCCATGCCTGATGTACTGCACAAGTAGCGCAGCACCCTCTTAGCAGCCTCCCAGTGCTCTCGCCGGTGTCTCCCAGGCGCAACGTAGCAAGCCAGGATGCTAAGAGGGTACGCAAGGTCAGGTCGAGTGCAGGTCATCAGGTACATGAGGCAGCCCACAAGCTCTGGGTACGGGCCACTCGGCTCTACGGACTTGTCCGAAGGTGGAGCTGAGAGCGAGTGGCTGGTAGACAGAGGAGTGGACTGAGGTGAGGAGAACTGGAAGCCGAAGCGCTGAAGGACCTGCTGCACCATGTGTGACTGAGTCAGGGTGATGGTGCGGCGTGCTCTGTCCCGGGTGATATGCAAGCCAAGGTAACTGCGCAGCTCACCCAGGTCTGTGCACGTGTGTCTCTTCTGCAGCTCCGACTTCACAAGAGCAAGTGCCTCAGTGTCAGCAGTAGCAAAGACCAAGTCGTCGACGTACACGAGGATGTAGAACGGCGGCAGTGACGTGTCTGTGCGCAGGAACAGTGAAGGGTCTGCAGTGGAGGGAGCAAACCCAAGAGCCGCAAGTGTAGTCCTCAGTGTGTCGTGCCACTTACGTGGCGCCTGGCGGAGACCGTAAACTGGCCGTCGGAGGCTCCACTGGGTACCAGGAGGGAAAGACCCAGTGAAGCCAGGAGGACGGCGCAGCCAGATCTCCTCGTGCAGGCTGCCCTGCAAGAAAGCCGTGCTGAAGTCAAGAGAGTGAAGCTCGTAGTCACGCTGAGCGGCAACGTGCAGCAGCACCCGAAGAGTGGTCATCTTCGGGGTAGGGGAGAAGGTCTGGAAGAAGTCAACTCCCTGTCGCTGACTGAAGCCTCGAGCAACGTAACGAGCCTTGAAGACAGGCGGAGAACCCTGCGGCCGCTTCACCCTGAAAATCCACATGCCATCGACGATGTTCGCCCCAGGAGGGGGAACCTCGTCGACGTAAGTGCCTGTGGACTTCCAGGATGCCATCTCTGCGTCCATGGCTGTCTGCCACTGAGAGGAGTAGGGACCCGAGACTGCCTTTGTGTGAGAGCAGGGGGTAGGGATGTCAAGTGCATCCGGGTCTCCCTTAGGGGCAAGCAGCCAGGCCGTGAGATGAGGTACAGCAGCCGCAAGACAGTCAAGGTCCTCCTGCCTGTCCTCAAGGACGTCCGTGCTAAGAGCACACTCACCCCCGACGGACGGAGGACAGACAAACTCAGACTCAGTAACAAGACTGGCAGTGTAGTCGAGACGACAGGTAGCAGCAAAGTCAACCAGTTCAGCAACCAAGGCAGACGCAGACGCAGACTCAAAGGACGGGTCAGTGACAACAGTGACTAACAGGCGCGTGACAGTAGGGTGGTCAGCACGAAACCGGTCAGACTCAGGGTCGGGAACGTCAGGCAGAGAGGACGCAGGGGGAGACGGCAGAGGAACACGCTGCTGAGTGGGAGAAGGACGTCTGACAACCAGGGGCGTGCTGCGAACAGGCGGCTGTCGCAGACTAGAGACACGACGACCGGAACGACCAGGACGGACAGGGGAGATAGGACGTGACGCAGGCTCACGACGCTCAGTAAGACCTCCTGGCTGCTCAGAGTAAGGAGAAGGAGCAGGCAGTGGTGAGCCAGGCTGTAAGGGAAGACCAGTAGACGACGGGAGACTAAGAACCTGGCGAAGTGCCGAGTCAGACGGTGGCTGAGAAGACGGAGACGGCGGAGCAAAGAACAGACGCCGCGGCGCCGTGTCACCAGCAGCAGTAGTACCAGGACCTCCAGCAGCTCCAGCCCCCTCAGCAACAGTGTCACCAGGACCAGGTCCACTGACAGCAGCACCAGCACCCCCAGTAGCTCCAGGACCCCCAGCAGCTCCAGAACCACCAGCTCCAGCACCTCCAGGACCAGCTCCACCAGCAGTAGCACCCCCAGAACCGGCACCCCCAGTCCCAGGGTCTCCAGCAGCAAAACTCTCACGCAAAGCTCCTCCAGCCAGCTCCGGCAGCTCCAGCACCTCCAGTACGAGCACCTCCGGGACCAGGGGAAGGAACTCCAACACCTCCAGAAGCAGAGCCTCGAGCTCCAGCAGCGCGACCCTGACGGCGCCCGAACCAGTCGTGCAGCTGCTGCGAGGTAAGAGGTACACGCGGACGAAGGCGGTCGCTCCACGGGGACCGCGCTCCAGCAGGCGCAGTACCCTTAGCCGGCTCACCTCTAGGCCCAGCTCCCCCAGTCTCCACACAAACAGGCACGTCACCCCCAGACACAGCACCCTCAGGCGTAGTACCACCAGGCTCCTGACTCGCAGGCTCAGCACCTCCAGGCACCTCACGCTCACGCTCCGCACCCCCAGGCTCAGCACCTCCAGGTACCTCACGCTCACGCTCTGCACCCCGTGGCTCAGCACCCCCAGGCACCTCACGCTCACGCTCCGCACCCCCAGGCTCAGTACCTCCAGGCTCCGCACCCCCAGGCTCCGCACCCCTAGGCTCCGCACCCCGAGCACCAGCACCCCCAGAGCCAACGACACCTCCAGCAGGACCAGAGTCACCAGTGACCTCAGAAGGCGCAGGTACGGGAGGGTCTACCTGAGAAACACCTGAAGGGGCAGGACCTGGCGCGGGAAGGGGGTCTACCTGGGGAGGACCTGGGGTGAGGAAGAGCGGCGGGGGGGCGCGAGGGGAGGTACGGTAGGGAAAGAGACGGTAGAAGGGAACAGACTCGTCAAAGGTGACATCCTGAGACGCAAAGACACGGCGCGAGGTGGGGTCGTAGAACTGCCAGCCAGGCGCGTCAGGAGGAAAACCAAGGAAGACACAGGGAATGGCGCGGGCGGAGAGCTTGTCCGCGGTGGTATCGCGAACAAAGGCACGAGCACCCCAGACCCGAAAGCGCGACGCATCGCCAACCTTCCCCGTCCACAACAGTGTGGGCGAGGTCTCCGGCAAGGAGACACGGGGCCAGAGGTTGAGCTGATGCGCAGCGTACTGGACCGCAAACGGCCACAGAAAATGGGGGGCAGCCGCATGGATCATGGAGGTACGAGCGACCTCCATGACTAAGCCAATGCGGCGCAAAGCAACCCCATTCTGCTGCGGAGAGGCCGGAAGCGTGAACGTCTGGCGGATGCCGTGCTCCGCACAGAAGGCTCGCAAGAGGTCAGAGGAGAACTCACCACCTCTGTCAGAGTGCAGACGCAGGACAGGAAAGTCCGTCTGGAACCGCTCGCGAAGCTGGAGACGAGCAGCGCGGATCCAGGGGATCAAAACATCAGGGACCTGCCCCTTGCTGCGCAAGGGGAAGACCGTGGTGTAGCGCGAGTAGTCGTCGACGACCAGCAGGAAGTAGCGCTCGCGGCCCTGACCCTGGACGCGGGCTGGGCCCCACACGTCCAGGTGGAGCGTCTGCAGCGGAGCCTCTGTGGGAGGGAACGAGGAGGAGTGAGGAGCGGCGCGCTGCCGCCCCTCGACGCAAGGAATGCAAGGCGGCGCAGGCGAGGGAGGGAGTGCAGGCAGGGACCTGGGAAGACCAGAGACCAGACAGCGAGAGTGCATGCCACGCAGGCGAGGCAGGGAGGGGTGACCAAGGCGGTGGTGCCACAGGAGAGTGTCGTGGGACAGGCGGCGGCACTCACACTGGGTGGCTACCTGAGCAGACGCGTACAGCTGTGGAGACAAAGGAGTGTAGCGTGAAACAGTGGTGAGAGTGTAAAGACTGGACCCCGGCTCACGGGTGAACGTGGCCAGGTGGCGGCCAGTCTTGGAGCAGGTACAGATCGCCACACGCTGTCCTCCAGGAGTCCAGGTGTCAACCCAGTGATCCTGAAGGACGGCGTTGCTCACCAAGTTCGTAGAGAACGAGGGAACACGAAGACCTGACAGCTCATTAGACGGGACCGCCGGGCACGGAAGCACAGTCGTGGCACGTGCAAGCACTGGGCCCCCAGAGGGGTCAGCCAGCGAGACAGGAACAGGTGCAGGGAGGGGGGTGACTGCGGTGCTGTCGCGAAAGAAACAGCGAGAAGCACCAGAGTCAAGTGTAAACGTGTGCAAAGCCTGCGCGGACGCAGTACCAGAGGGGTCAGACGCACGAGCACCTAGGGCTGCAGTCTCTATACCTGGGTCAGGCGGAACGCACAAGTAGCAGTCACCCTCAGCACTAACAGTCAATGCATACATGGCAGCAAGGATTGCATCATAGTCAAGATCATAGACATTGACATCACGCCTAAGCAGATCAGCCCAGTTGGGGAACTCAGTGGCATCAGGGAACTTGGCGCGCCAGGCGTCGCTGAGGCGCGCAAAGCAACGGGACTCAGGGTGAAGGCCGTTGCACGTGCGGCCCTTGCGAGGGCCAGTGAGAATGACATAGGGGCAGCGACCAGAACCCCCAGACGCCCCACGCCCAGCATACCAGTCATGAAGCTGCTGAGAGGAGGGGGTCTGGCGCTGCTGCTGCTGCTGCTGCTGCTGCTGCTGCTGCTGCGGCTGCTGCTGCTGCTGGCCGGTCCCACTCCCGCCTCCACCACCACCCCCACCACCACCGCCTCCTCCCCCCTTGCCGCCGCTGCCACCTCCACCACCCCCACGACCACCTCCACTGTGAGCACCACCCCCACCGCCCCCATCACCACTCCCCCCACTCCCACCCCCGCCACCCCTGCCCCCCTTGCCGCCCCGGCCCCCGCCGCGCTTCCCACTAGGAGCGGAAGCAGCTGCGACCTTCTCAGCACCAGGAAGGTCAACGGGAGTAAGCAACTAAGGCGTACGAGGGGGCGAGGGGGGAGGGGGAGCACCCCTCAAAGAGGGGAGTGCGGGGAGTGCCTCGAGCGGCACCGACGGCTAGGAGATTCTTCTCTGCTGCGAGAAGCTGCCGCTCGAAGTCGTCTAGGGTGATCTCGGGGGCGTCCATGGCGAGGAAGTGGTCCCTGACTGTGCTAAGGGTGTCAGGGAGGCGGGTGACGAGGAGGTAGAGGGTAAAATAGAGCGGAGGGGGGTTCTTGGAACGGAAGTCGTCCTTAAGAGTGGCGTTAAAGCGGGTCTCACTATCGCGAAGGTGAGTGATCAAGTGCGTAGCAGTGGGGAAGGAGGACAGGTCAGGGAACAGGTAGGGCAGGATGAGGCCTCCTACAGCGGCAGTGGCTGGGGAGGAGTAGCGTGCAACTACTGCGTCATAAAGTGCCTTGGCAGTTTTGTGCTGACTGAAATGCGCGCGCTCAGCGATCGGCAGATGGTTGCGGATAGCAAGGCGCGCAGCAGCATCGCGAGTCAGCCACTGTGAGCGGTCTACAGCAGGAGCACTGTCAGCAGGAGCAGCGGCAGTGCCAGTAACGTAGTCGAAAAGCGAGACACCATCTTTGGCATCAGTCAGAAGGAAAAGCTGCAGATCGTCAAGCCAAGTGGGAAATGCGATCGGGCGACCGTCAGGTTCGAAAGCTAGCACATTCATGGTCACCATGGCAGCAGCGCAAGGCAGGCAGGCGTAAAGCAGGATGCAGGGGCAGGCAGGGGGCCGGGCGCGGGCGTAGGGGCAGCGCGACGGGCAGGAAAGGGGGGCCGGGCGCGGGATTAGGGGCAGCGCGACGGGCAGGCTAGGCAGGGCGCATGTGGGGCAGCGCGGTAACCACAGTCAGGCAGACGTTCGGTGGGCCCGGAAAAAAAAAAATCGTTCGTAACGGACCTACTGCTCTGAAACCACGTGAATACTATGAGGCAAGAATGGTTGGATTGAAAGAAGCAAGGGTACAAATAGGAAACCCTAGTTGGGGTTGTACCCCATATTGGCTACCCCACTACAGCCTACAAACATATAGCACATTTATACTTTGACAGGGAATGTTGTATGTTTATTATTATGACTAAATCTTGATCCATGGAGTATTGTGACCATTGACCACCTACGAAGTGCAACAATCTAGTTAAAAAGAACCAAGTTACTCAATAATATGTCTTTTTCCACTCTTGTCTGCATAAACAACAGCAAAAAAGCAGGACTTGTAAGTCCCTCCCTACACCTGGTGCTGGGCACCTGTACGGAATGAGCAGGAAAAAACAGAGTGCAGGGGAGACATCGAGCAGGGGGGAAAGAGAGTGAGGAGAGGGGAAGAGAGTGAGAAGGGGGGAAAGGAGTGAGCAGGGGGGAAGAGGGTGGGCATGGGGGAAGGGAGTGAACAGGGGGGGAACAGAATGAGCAGGGGGAAACAGAATGAGCAAGGGGAAAGAAAATGAGCAGCGAGGAAGAGAATGAGCAATGGGGAAAGAGACTTCGCAGGGGGAAAGAAAATGAGCAATGGGAAAACCGGGTGAGCAAGGGGGAGACGGAGTGAGGAGGTGAGAAGAGAGAGAGCAGGGGGGGAGAGAGCAGGGGGGAATAGAGCAGGGGGAATAGAGCCTACCTCGTCCTCCTCGCAGCTCGCCACTGCCCCTACCCCGCTCCCACTTCCCCTCTGTGGGCACGTCACGCAGCTTCTTGGGCGGCCGCACCTCCCCACCTGCACCGGGTGCGCCTCCCACGGGGTCACGGTCGATGAATGGCATCAGGTCCTGGGTGGACGTGCACACGCACACGCACACACATACTAGGGAAGCAGGGAAAAGGACATGGGGAAGCAGGGAAGGGGATGGGGGGAAGCAGGGAAGGGGATGGGGGGAAGCAGGGAAGGGGATGGGGGGAAGCAGGGAAGGGGATGGGGGGAAGCAGGGAAGGGAACACGGGGAAGCAGGGAAGGGGATGGGGGGAAGCAGGGAAGGGGACATGGGGAAGCAGGGAAGGGGATGGGGGGAAGCAGGGAAGGGGATGGGGGGAAGCAGGGAAGGGGATGGGGGGAAGCAGGGAAGGGGACATGGGGAAGCAGGGAAGGGGATGGGGGGAAGCAGGGAAGGGGATGGGGGGAAGCAGGGACGGGGATGGGGGGAAGAAGGGACGGGGATGGGGGGAAGCAGGGAAGGGAACACGGGGAAGCAGGGAAGGGAACACGGGGAAGCAGGGAAGGGGATGGGGGGAAGTAGGGAAAGGGACATGGGGAAGCAAGGAAGGGGATGGGGGAAAGCAGTGAAGAGGATGGGGGAAAGCAGTGAAGGGGATAAGGGAAAGCAGTGAAGGGGATGGGGGGAAGCAGGGAAGCAGGGAAGGGGATGGGGGGAAGCAGAGACACCGATGGGGGGAAGCAGGTAAGGGAATTGGGGGAAGCAGGGAAGGGGATGGGGGAAAGCAGTGAACGGGATGGGGGAACGCAGTGAAGGGGATGGGGGAAAGCAGTGAAGGGGATGAGGGGAAGCAAGGAAGGGGACATGGGGAAGCAGGGAAGGGGATGGGGGAAAGCAGCGAAGGGGACATAGGGAAGCAGGGAAGGCGACACGGGGAATCAGGGAAGGGGATGGGGGGAAGCAGGGAAGGGGATGGGGGGAAGCAGGGAAGGGGATGGGGGGAAGCAGTGAAGGGGATGGGGGGAAGGAGGGAAGGGGATGGGGGAAAGCAGGGAAGGGGACATGGGGAAGCAGGGAAGGGGACATGGGGAAGCAGGGAAGGGGATGGGGGGAAGCAGGGAAGGGGATGGGGGGAAGCAGGGAAGGGGATGGGGGGAAGCAGGGAAGGGGATGGGGGGAAGCAGGGAAGGGGACATGGGGAAGCAGGGAAGGGGATGGGGGGAAGCAGGGAAGGGGATGGGGGGAAGCAGGGACGGGGATGGGGGGAAGAAGAGACGGGGATGGGGGGAAGCAGGGAAGGGAACACGGGGAAGCAGGGAAGGGAAGGTGCATGGGGAAGCAGGGAAGGGGATGGGGGGAAGCAGGGAAGGGGACATGGGGAAGCAGGGAAGGGGATGGGGGAAAGCAGTGAAGAGGATGGGGGAAAGCAGTGAAGGGGATAGGGGAAAGCAGTGAAGGGGATGGGGGGAAGCAGGGAAGCAGGGAAGGGGATGGGGGGAAGCAGGGAAGGGAATTGGGGGAAGCAGGGAAGGGGATGGGGGAAAGCAGTGAAGGGGATGGGGGAAAGCAGTGAAGGGGATGGGGGAAAGCAATGAAGGGGATGAGGGGAAGCAAGGAAGGGGACATGGGGAAGCAGGGAAGGGGATGGGGGAAAGCAGTGAAGGGTGTCGATCAGAATGAACGGACAGGAATGACTGTACTAGCACAAAGTTGGATACAAGTAGTAAACCCTAATCTAGTGTACCCCCTAAGGTGTCACCCACTACATTCTACAATCATATAAACATATAATGTTTGACACACCCCCATAGGCGCAGTGGGAGACAACCACAGGGTCACGAGACCAGTCAAAGCAAAGGAAGGCAAGCTCAGGGTGGATCTCAAGGATTCCACACAAATTCCGAGCACAAGCTAGTGGTCACAAGACCAGTTCACATGCAGGTTTATAACAGAGCAAGAGATACAGTGATCACAGCCTAGCAAGAGTAAACATGCAGGTATATATATATAGTGATCACAGTACAAGCAAAGTCAAGAGGTAAGTAAGTGAGGTCCAGTAGGCACAAGGCCTAGTAGAGTGCAGAAGCGCTGATGGTCACGAGGCTGAAGCGCCTTGGTGAACACATCAGCAGTGTTGGCCTCAGTGGCCACGTAGCGAATACAAAGCTGACCGCGCTGCTGCAGCTCACGAGCAAGGAAGTACCGCAGGGCGATGTGCTTCGTTCTGTGCTCCAGTCTGTGCTCCTCACACAAGGCAATGGCAGCCTTGTTGTCGACGTACAGTACTGGAGGAGAACGAGGCGGCTCTCCCAGGTCGGTCAGCAGGTAGGTCAGCCAGCGTAGCTCCTGGGCAGCCATGGCTGTAGCGTAGATCTCAGCCTCGCAACTGGAGCCGAGAACAGAAGAAGAGCGTGTAGAGCGCCAAGAAACTGAGCCAGAGCCAAGGCTGAAGGTGTAACCCTGAGACGACCGCTGAGTGGCCTGGTCGTCTGCCCAAGAAGCGTCTGAGTGCCCTGTGAGAACAACTCGGTCTCGCCCTCCAAGCACAAGCCCCATGCCCGACGTACTGCACAAGTAGCGCAACACCCTCTTAGCGGCATCCATGTGCTCCTTCCTGTGACGGCCAGGAGCGACATAGCGTGCAAGGATGCTAAGAGGGTATGCAAGGTCAGGTCGAGTGCAGGTCATCAGGTACATGAGGCAGCCCACAAGCTCTGGATACGGGCCACTCGGCTCTACGGACTCATCCGAAGGCAGAGCTGAGAGCGAGTGACCGGTAGGCAGAGGAGTGGACTGAGGCGAGGAGTACGTGAAGCCGAAGCGCTGGAGAACCTGCTGCACCATGTGTGACTGAGTCAGGGTGATGGTGCGCCGTGCTCTGTCCCGGGTGATCCGCAAGCCAAGATAGCTTGTCAGCTCACCCAGGTCTGTGCACGTGTGTCTCCTCTGCAGCTCCGACTTCACGTAGGCGAGTCCTGCAGTGTCAGCAGTGGCAAAGACCAAGTCGTCGACGTACACGAGGATGTAGAACGGCGGCAGTGAAGTGTCGGTGCGCAGGAACAGCGACGGGTCAGCTGTAGAAGGCGCGAACCCAAGAGCCGCAAGTGTAGTCCTCAGTGTGTCGTGCCACTCACGCGGAGCCTGGCGGAGACCGTAGACCGGCCGCTGAAGCCTCCACTGGGTACCAGGAGGAAAAGACCCAGTGAAGCCAGGTGGGCGGCGCAGCCAGATCTCCTCGTGCAGGCTGCCCTGCAAGAAAGCAGTGCTGAAGTCAAGTGAGTGAAGCTCGTAGTCGCGGTGAGCGGCTATGTGCAGCAGCACCCAAAGAGTAGTCATCTTCGGGGTGGGGGAGAAGGTCTGGAAGAAGTCAACTCCCTCTCGCTGACTGAAGCCTCGAGCCACGTAACGCGCCTTGAAGACAGGCGGAGAACCCGGCGGCCGCTTCACCCTGAAAATCCACATGCCACTGACGATGTTCGCCCCAGGAGGGGGAACCTCGTCGACGTAGGTGCGTGTGGACTTCCAGGAAGCCATCTCGGCGTCCATGGCTGTCTGCCACTGAGAGGAGTAGGGACCCGCCATCGCCTCAGCGTAAGTGCGCGGGGTCGGGATGTCTGGTGCATCCGGGTCTCCCTCAGGGGCAACTAGCAAGGACACGAGACGGGGCAAAGCAGCAGCAAGACACTGGAACTCCTCCTGTCTGTCCTCAAGGACGTCCGTGCCAAGAGCACACTCACCCCCGACGGACGGAGGACAGACAGACTCAGACTCAGACTCAGCAACAAGGCTAGCAGCGTAGTCTAGACGACAGGCAGCAGCAAAGTCAACCAACTCAGCGACCAGAGCAGACGCAGTCGAGGACTCAAAGGTAGGGTCAGTGACAACAGTAGCAAGGAGACGCGTGACAGTAGGGTGCTCAGCACGGTACCGGTCAGACTCAGGGTCCGGAACGTGAGGCAAAGAAGACGCAGGAGGAGACGGTAGAGGGACACGCTGAGGAGCAGTAGAGGGACGCAGAGTCATGTAGTGAGTGCCTGGGACAGGAGGAGGACGCTCACGACGGACACGACTACCAGTGCGAGCAGGACGAACAGGCGACGCAGGACGAGACTCAGGCTCACGACGCTCTGTAAGACCTCCTGTGGGACCAGTGTAAGGAGAGGGAGCAGGGAGAGGCGAGGTAGGTGGTAACTGTGACTGCGGCTGGACAGGCGGAGGACACTCTACGGAGGGAGGAGGACAAGGAGGAGGAGTCTGCCCAAGAACCTGCTGAAGGAGCGGTACGAAGTACGGTCGCGGCCGCGCAGCGTCTCCGGAAGCAGAGGAGACTCCAGCGGCCGGGTCCTCAGTACCAGTAGGAGCTCCAGCGTCCGGGTCCACAGCACCAGCAGCAGCTCCACCGGCCGGGTCCTCAGCACCAGCAGTAGCTCCAACGCCCGGGTCCTCAGCAGCAGCAGCAGTGCCACCGCTCGGGTCCTCAGCTCCAGCAGCAGCTCCACCGTCCGAGTCCTCAGCACCAGCAGCAGCTCCAACGTCCGAGTCCTCAGCACCAGCAGCAGCTCCACCAGGCGGGTCCGCAGCACCAGCAGCAGCTCCCACGTCCGGGTCCTCAGCACCAGCAGCAGCGCCACCCCCAGGGTCCGCAGCACCAGGAGCACCACTCCGAAGACTGCAGCGCCGTGTGTACCACTCGCGGATCTGCTGAATGGGGGGGAGCTCCTGGGGAGGAGGGGAAGTACCGGGACGAGCTCCAGCAGCACCTCTCCGGAGGCGGCAGTACTCGAGGTACCTCTCTTGCAGCTGCTGGGAGGAGAGGGCTCCTCCAGGTGTAGCACGCTCAGGCTCAGCACCCCCAGACTCAGCACCCCCAGGCTCAGCACCTCCAGGCTCCGCACCTCCTGGCTCAGCACCCCCAGGCTCCGCACCCCCAGACTCAGCACCCCCAGGCTCAGCACCCCCAGACGCAGCACCCCCAGGCTCAGCACCCCCAGACGCAGCACCCCCAGGCTCAGCACCCCTAGCAGGACGAGAGTCAACAGCTACCTCGACAGGCTCACCCGGGTCTACCTGGGACACACCTGAGGGAGCGGCACCCTGAGGGGGGAGGGGGTCTGGTACCTCAGCACCTGGAGCGAGGAAGAGAGGCGGGGGGGGGAGCGGGGCAGTGCGGTAGGGGAAGAGGCGGTAGTAGGGGACGGACTCGTCAAAAGTGACGTCCTGAGAGGTCGAGACACGACGCGAGGTGGGGTGGTAGAACTGCCAGCCAGGGGCGTCCGGGACAAAGCCAAGGAAGACGCAGGGGACAGCGCGACGGGAGAGCTTGTCCGCGGACGTGTCGCGGACAAAAGCTCGGGATCCCCAGACCCGAAAACGCGACGCATCGCCAGCCTCTCCCGTCCAATGCAGTGTCGGAGAAGTCTCGGGCAAGGAGACACGGGGCCAGAGGTTGAGCTGATGCGCAGCGTATCGGACTGCAAACGGCCACAGAAAGTGGGGGGCAGCCGCATGAACCAAGGAGGTACGAGTGACCTCCATGACCAAGCCAATGCGGCGCTCAGCAACCCCATTCTGCTGTGGAGAGGCCGGAAGCGTGAACGACTGCTCAATGCCCTCCTGCGGACAGAAGGCCTCCAAGAGGTCAGAGGAAAACTCACCACCTCTGTCAGAGTGCAGACGCAGGACAGGGAAGTCGGAGTGGAAACGCTCACTGAGCTGGAGACGAGATCTGCGGATCCAAGGGATCAAGACATCAGGGACGTCACCCTTGGTGCGCAAGGGGAAGACCGTGGTGTAGCGCGAGAAGTCGTCAACAACAATCAGGAAGTACCTCTCCTGACCCTGGCCACGGACGCGGGCTGGGCCCCACACGTCCATGTGGAGCGTCTGCAAAGGAGCAGTCGTCGGGGGAAAGGAGGAGGAGTGAGGAGCGGCGCGCTGCCGCCCCTCGACACAGGGAAGACAGGGAGGAGCAGGTGAGGCTGGAAGGGGAGGGAGCACCCTGGGAAGCCCAGCAACAAGGTCCCGTTTGTGCATGGCCCGAAGGCGCTGCACAGACGGGTGACCAAGGCGGGTGCGAAGTGGTATGGGGGAGATTTGTGATTATTGGGGGGAGCGAAGGGCGTGTGTAGGGGTAGAAAAGGGAGGGTGACCAGTGTGCGCGATGGGAAGGGAGACGGGAGGGATGGCGAGGGCGACGCGGCGTGAATGGCAGGGCGGAAGGGAGGTCGACGGGCGAAGGAAGGGGCGGAAGGGAGGGCGACGCTTGGATGGGAGGGCGACAGGCGGTAGGGAGGGCGACGGGCGGAGGCGACGCGCAGAAGGGAGGCTAAAGACGGCGCAAGGGAGGGCGACGGGCGGAAGTGAGGGCGACGGGCGGAAGTGAGGGCGACGGGCGGAAGGGAGGGCGACGCGCGGATGGGAGGGCGACGGGCAAAAGGGTGGGCGACGACCGGATGGAAGGCGATGGGCGGAAGAAGGGAGGGCGGCGAATGGAAGGGAGAGACGAGCGGAAGCGTGTGCGACGGAAGGAAACGGGAGTGACGTAAGGACGCGTGGGCGACGTAAGGAAGCGTGGGCGACGTAAGGACGCGTGGGCGACGTAAGGAAGCGTGGGCGACGTAAGGAAG